AGATTTAAAAAGTTTTAAGTTTTTACTTTCAAAACTTTTTAAAAAGTAAGCACAGTTAATCTGAAAAAACTTTCTAATTTTTTTAAAAAAGAAAAGACAATTTGATAATATATGTTTGATTTTTTTTTTTACTTTACCTATTAATTAATATATTATTAATGTGAGATCCTATATTAGTTAGAGAGAAAAGCTCAATGAATATAATATCTGTAGCAGTGAGCTTCTATTATAAATGACATTAGAGTCAAATACCAAGTTGACATTAGAGTCAAACCCGGCAAATTATTTGACCCTATAACAAATGTACGTAGTACCCAGATTTTAAATTCTATATTTTTCAAAAAATTTGAACTAAAAGACCCATTATGTTTTTTTATAAATTAGAACCAAATACATATATAATTAATGGTGTATAAATCTATGGTAATATTTAGATATAAATATAAACGCAAGAAGGAATTTAACAATAAAAGTGAAAACACAAAATCTGCACACAACATAGCGAACATGGAAGGACGATGTTGTAGATTTCAGCAACAAAGTTGGATGGACGAAGAAGAGTAATTGCAGAATAATTGATCCCATAAAAATTTACAGCACATTTCAATGAAATCTCTGCAGACAAAAGTACTATGTTGTCTTCAAGTAGCTGCCCCCTGCCCCTGCCCCTGCCCCTGCCCCGCCCCGCCCCGCCCCTGCCCCTGCCCCTCCCAAGAAGAAACAAAGAAAGTAGCTTCACAGACAGCCAGCCACCTCCCTCTCTCTCTCTCTCTCTCTCTCTCTCTCTCTCTCTCTCTCTGTAAACTAATCTTCTTTCTCTCTGTAAAAAAAAAAAACCCATTGAAGAGCAAATCGAGCAGTTTCTGTTGCTGTATGTTAGAGGATAAGGTTACAGCAGATATCATAAATCACTGAGCTTTCTGTCCAAATCACACCCATCGCTCTCTGTTTCTCTCTTTTTCTCTCTCCTCTCATGGCTTTTATTATCTGTTTGATTCAGTTTAAAACGCTAATTCTGCGTCTACTAACAACATTTAGATGCAAAAGTTAAAGATTATGACAAAAACTAAGAGTTTTTAAGCTGAATTTGATGAACTAGAGAGAGAAAGAGAGCGAGCATGAAATGCTCTGTTTTCATGATTTGTTCTGTCATCATTAACTCTGTTTCCTCAGATGGGGTTATAATGGCTTTTCTTTCGAGTAAAATTTTCGAGTTTTTTTGGGTTAAAAACACACACACAAACACAAGGGCTTCTTGTCGTTTACCTCTTTCTTATGCCATTGCCACCACTTTCCTCTGTCCTTTCATATTTATAAACTTCAATCCCAAATTATCAACAAAACACCGATCAACAGGTAAGCTAAGAATGTGTGATATTCCGAAACTGAGATTCTTTATCATCCCCCATCGCTTTCTTTTGCTTTCTCTCTTCCTTAAATCTCTTCCCCGTTCTTAATCAGCCATTGAGTTTTAAGGAAAGCCCATCTCTGTTTCTCTCTGTTTCTCTCTGTTTTTGTGTTCTTCGTTGGAGATTTTCAGACCAACCAATTTTACCATCTACTTTCTTTACAGCTTCTCTCCCATTTGCCTCATGTCTTTTGGGATTATGAGCAAAACCCATTTCAGGAACTCTTGAAAAAGCTCTGCTTTTTCCAGCTGACCACTGCGGCAAAAGCCTGGGTAGAATTCTAGAATCTTTATTCATTTATTTCTTTTTCGATTCCCGAGATGACTAATCACTAGAACTGTTTACATATTGGGTTTGAATTATTCCACCCTTTTTTATTTCTATTTGTCATAAAATAGATTCCGATGGCGAATTGGAACGGCGCTCTGAGAAAAAGCTATGGCTTCAGTGAAGATTTGGAAGAAGATGTGTGGAAATCTGTTGAAGGTAAAGAAGATTCTTCGAGTTTTGTAACGAGAAAGTCTACTGATTATCGTCTTCCAACTGCACCCAAAATGATCCCGAAATCCATTGCAACAAGAACACACGAAACCCAGATGAGGACTAATCGATCCTCTGCTCCAGTGGACATTCCCGATTGGGCTAAAATTTACGGCAAGATGGGCTCGTCGGACGGCGAGCTTTCAGGCCAGAAATCCGACGACAGAGATCAAGAAGACATCGCCGGGGAAGAAGACGACATGGTGCCTCCTCATGAATGGATTGCTCAGAAACTGGCGAGAAGCCGAATTTCGTCTTTCTCTGTTTGTGAAGGGGTTGGTAGAACTCTCAAAGGAAGGGATTTAAGCAAAGTGCGAAACGCCATTTTAACAAAGACTGGTTTCTTAGAGTGACACTTAACGGCCGAGATGTTCATCATCACCGTTTTGTTCTTTTCTTTCCGCCATTGTTAAGGTCTTTAGAGCTTAGAACAGAGTTTTTTTTAGCAAGAACTGGAAGAAAAAAAGGAAAAAAATGCCAAAAAGATGAAGAATTTGTAGTCTGTTGAGAATTCTATCTAGTACCCAGATGGGTTTTTTGTTTTCTGTTCTTAATTTTCTCTCTCTCTCTCTCTCTCTCTCTCTCTCTCTCTGCTTCATGTTTTGTGATTTGGAATTTTGAGAATGGGAGAATTTGTTGTTTGCTGCCTTTCTTCCATGGCTGAGTGCTTGCTTTTTTCCATAGAACTAAGAGGATAAATGCTTCAAATGCTTCAACTTTATGTTGTCAAGGCAATTTTTTTAGTACATTAAGATCTCCTCACTCATTCCCATATGAACTTTTCTTAAGAACTATTATCATATTCATGGAGCACTCACATAATTGATAGCATCCCCATCTGTGCAGATATCCACTCTTTCCCCTGTATGAACATAATTGATAGCATATAATTCAGGACTGTCGTTAACCTTATTTCGACTCGACGTTATAATCTTAGCAAGTTCTCGATCAATAACCATTTAGGTTTTGAAAATTATACTTCCATATAATAAATTCTTTGAAAAAAAACAAAATTGTTATCAATCGAGTCATTTGAGAACGGGTATCCACTTTAATCTACAACCACCTGGTTTGGATAGGAGCATTAATGTTTTGGTTAGCTCATAAAAGCTGTTTTTCCCTTTGGCATTGAGCTATGGATATCTGTGGGATATGGCAGTGGCATCAAATACATCAAATCACTTCCACAGGCTTTCTGATCCGAATAAGGGTCCACGAATAATTCCATAATAAAGACGAAAAATTCAAAAAAAAAAAAAAAAGTAAAAAAAATGAAAAGGAACAATCATCCTGCTCCTCTTCCAGTGGACAGATTCCTGTTTCCTTGGTATCAATACCAAAACCATGTCGTTTTGATCTCTCAGACCTGACTCACAGTCTCAGATTCTTTGAACTTCACCAAAAGCCTTCCCCTTTCCCCCTTTTCCCGGCACCACCAACCAACCAACCATCATATTGCTCAGAATTCCCTTCATCAGTTTCAGTGTTAAAAACACTCAACATCTCACTCTTATTCATCCATTTCCTTTCCACTTCGTCTTAATCACTTTGGATCATAAAGTTTTGTGAATGTTGAAACAAAAAAAGGGTTAAAAAAGTGGAATAGTTTACACTTTCTATGAGGGACCCTCTCGTTGCCCTGTTTTTAACTTTGAAAAGCTGGGTGTAGTGGGAAATGGGTATCAGCTCAGTTCAGCTCAGCTCATCTCATGTTGAAAGAGCACTAATTAGATTCTGTTCTTGTTTTCTAAATTCTAACTATGTTCCTTTTTATTCTGTCTTTTGATGCAAAGCCTTGAAAAGGAAGGTTCATCTTCCCCAGATTTAGATTTTTAGTCCCTCATGGATTCAGATCTTATGCTGAAAACTCAGTGTGGATTCGAAAGATCAAAGGGTGAGGTAAATGTTGTGCTGAGTGTTATTGTCGTTGTCAATGAGGGAACACAAATCCACGGATATATTTGCTGCAGATTCTTACTTTTCATGTGAAAATTTGTTAGCTTTTCTTCCCGAGTTTGGAAATCGCCAGCATTATTAGATCTCATGTTGGTTAGAAAGGCAAACGAAACATTCTTTATAGGGTGTGAACATCTCTCTTTAGCGTTTTAAAACTGTGAGGCTGATGACGATACGCAACAGGTCAAAAGTGGACAATATTTGCTAGCGGTAGACTTGAGCTATTATAAATGGTATTAGACTGAGACACTAGGCGATATGCCAATGAGGACGTTGACCTCAAGGGGGTGGATTGTGATGAAATTCTCTCCCTAGTAGACATGTTCTAAATCGTGAGGCTGACGGCGATACATAATGGGCCAAAACGAAAAATACATGCTAACGTTGGGTTTAGATTGTTACAAATGATATCAAACTCAAACATTAGGCGGTGTGCCAACAAGTATGTTGACTCCCAAGAGGTGGATTGTAATGGAAACCTCTCCCTAGTATAGACATATTTTAAAATTATGAGGCTGATAGCAATACGTAACAAGTTCGAGCGGACAATATCTGCTAGCACAAACAAGCTCATAAAAAGCAATACGTACCGGCTACATTTCTTCCGAGGGGATTAAGGTTAGACTTTGGAGCTAACTCTGTGTTTGGTCGGGAAAGGTTCTGCAAGAACTGAGGTTGCAAATTTGCAACATTTATGGATTGAGGAAGATGAAGAGAGAGAGATCTTCAACGGTCAGTGTTTATGTGCATTAATTTCAAAACGGTTCAAGATTCCTTCCAAATTAATTGGTCAATCTATGAGTTAAATTCCAAAACTTAAGAGGTTTCAGTTCTTCTAATCTCATTTATTACATGATTAATGTTGTGAAACAAGCTTATTAAAAGGGCCCCCATGTTCTATTCTGAGCCATAACCAAACCCTTTTCCCTTCAGCTCCACCTTACTCATTTGAGCTGAAAGTGAGTTCAGATTTTCACTTTCAGCTCTAGCCAAGCCCATAGCCATAGCCATAGCTGCATAATCTGCAAGAATTTCACATATTTCTTCACGTTCTTAGCAGAAACCTCTCCCCTTAGCTGCATTATCTGCAAGTTTAGGTGAAAGAGGGGCAGACAAAAATGTATATGAAGAATAAAGCTGAAGGAATTGGATTGGACTATGCTTCAAGATATGTATTATTTAGGAAGTGGGCCTTTTATCTATGTTTTGTATGCTTTTGTGCTGGCATGCTCTTTACAAACAGGTACAATATTGTCAATACAGCCTATCTTCAACATTTTAAGCAACATTTTTGGTTGCTTTTGCTGTAAGAACATTTTAAGAACTTGAAAATCTGTTTGTTCAACTGGTTTTTACCGCAAAGATTGCGTTCGATCGTGTTTTTAGGACAGTAAAATTTGGTTTAATTTTACCTGGAAGCTGTTCATGTTAATGAGTATATTCTTTTCAGGTTGTGGATAGTGCCTATGGCTAATGGTGTTGCACTGAAATCTTATGATCAAGAACTTGTGAGTGATTAGTGATTCATTTATATCTTGATTATATTCTCAAGGCGAAATCGTTCTCTTTAATCTACGAACCGAAAGAAACTTAATGTTTTTTTGTTCAACAAGGCGAAAACCGAAACATCTGGTGCAAGGCCAGAGGAGTTTTCAAGATCCCAGCTGAGTATTCAGTAAGTAACATGCTGATGCTTGATTCAAATTGGTTTAATGAGTGTCCTAAGAGCAAATGTATGATATGCAGGACACTTGCTAGGAGCATTTCAGATCTGGAGACGAAACTTGCAGCTGTAACGACCGATCACGAACCGACTTCCAAAAGAAAGTATCTAGTGGTTGTAGGAATCAATACAGCTTTTACTAGCCGAAAACGAAGAGATTCGGTTCGTGCAACATGGATGCCACAAGGTCTGCTAATGTCACAAATCCTATGGTGACTTTTCCATCATCTGCATAAACTGATAGTAATGTTTATAATTTGATCTTGCTAGGTGATAAGAGAAAGAAGTTGGAGGAAGAGAAAGGCATAGTCATCCGTTTCGTTATCGGTCGAAGGTGAACGAAGAACAATCAATTTTCTTGTTAAGTTCTATACAACTTTGACAAATAGATCACAGCAAATGTGCTTTATATTTGGTTGACAGCGCCACTCCTGGCAGTATGCTCGATATGTCGCTTGACGCGGAGGAGCGCCAACATGGAGACTTTTTGAGACTGGTAATACCTGTTTCAATGGATGTTCTACGTTGAAGAGTATAATCAAAGATCAGAATGTGATATTTGATGAAACTTTTGTTCATGTTTGTTCAAATGTTGCAAGCAGAATCATGTCGAGGGCTACCTCGAATTATCGGCCAAGACGAAAACTTACTTCGCTACAGCTGTTTCTTTGTGGGATGCTGAGTTTTATGTCAAAGTCGACGACGACATCCATGTGAACATAGGTGAGTCGACATTCAGACAATCTTCCTGTTTGAACTGTCAAGTGATATCATATATAATGTTTAAGCTTCTATCCTTTTATCTACAACAGGTGCGCTCGGAACAACTCTGGTAGGACATCGTAATAAGCCTCGGGTTTACATCGGTTGTATGAAGTCCGGACCGGTACTCTCGAATAAGTAAGCATAACTTGTATGTTCTAGCTTAGAAAACACAACTTATTACCAATAGTTTTGTTCTTCACAATGTCTTTTGAATGGTATAGAGGAGTAAAGTACCACGAACCGGAGTATTTACGATTCGGGGACGAGGGAAATTTGTATTTCCGTCATGCTACAGGACAGTTATATGCAATCTCGAAAGACTTGGCTACTTACATCTCGCGCAACCAGTTAAGTTTAGAAGTTCTTACAAAGCACGAAAACGTTTCGAAGTAGTTTCGCTCGTGATTAAACGACTTCAACTAATTCGTTCTTTCGTTACTTTGTTCAACTTGCAGGGATGTGCTGCACAAGTATGCCAATGAAGACGTTTCATTAGGATCTTGGTTGATTGGTTTAGATGTGGAGCAGGTGGATGATAAGAAACTGTGCTGTAGTACCCCGATCGGTGAGTTTGTACCCTTTGTCCCGCTTGGAGCCGGGACGTTTTAAGTACTTACGAACACTTTCTTAAGCATTTAGAAAGTCGTTTCAAATAGGCTCTTAACGTTCTTTTTCATCGGTTCGTGCATTTGTTTGTTTGTTTGTGTAGATTGTGAGACAAAAGCTTTGGGAGGTGAAGCTTGTGTAGCTTCATTTGATTGGAGATGCAGTGGGATCTGCAACTCAGTTGAAAGGATGAGTGAAATTCATCAGAAGTGTGCTGAAAATGAGACTTCTTTATGGAGTTCAAGCTTTTGAAGACTCAACAAACAAGGATTTTATGCACTTGAATGAAAGTACACAGAAATGCTGTCCTCATTTTTTGGTTTGCCTTTAATCTAAGTTCGAATTTGTTTTCATGTGTTAACAGCGTTCGATTGAATGATGAATATCGCTTTAACGTCGAAACGAGCTTAGCTCAACTGTGAATATTCTAAAAGTAAACCATAAAAAGTACTCGTTTAATCTTAAAATAGTAGGAAAACATCGTTTTTACTCGAACTCGATATGGGATGTGAGATCCCACATCGGAAACATTACTTATAAGGGTGTAAAAATCTCTCCCTAATAAATGCGTTTTAAAGTCATGAGGCTGACGATAATACGTAACGAGCTAAAACGGACAATATTTACTTACGGTGAGCTTAAGCTATTACAAATGATATTAGAGCCAGACATCGGGTGGTGTGCTAGCGAGGACGCTGGCCCCAATAAGAAGGCGAAAAGTCGTTTTCAAACCATGAGACTGCGGGGATACGTAACAGGGCAAAGTGAACAATACGTAAAAGTTGACTTTTTTCCACTAAATATTTGTTTGATAAAGAGTGATATGTATAAACAAGATAATCAGTCAATGTAGCTCGCTATGGGGGAGTGAAGTTGGGCCGGGCTTCATTTCTTGTTGGGCCTACATAAAGACTTCGGGCCACGTTTATGGGCTTAAAAATAATGGGCCTAAATCAATTTAGGTGGGCCTGGCTTACTGGAATAGCATGCTGTGTAAGCAATCCGATCTGATATAAAAGGGATTATTGGGTTGACGTGGGGGAATTGAGAAGAAAGCTAGGTACGCTTCTTCGTCTTCAAGTCTTCGGCCGTTATTTTATGATCGATCTCTCGCCAGCTTGATTTTCCCGTCTCTTTCGCCATTTTCATTTAATTGGCTCTGCCAATCGTTATCATAGGCACTGATTGCGTCGATTCTGCCTCGGTATGTCGTTTACAGAACTGTTCTTCATGGTTATTCGTATTAAGTTTTGTTCAGTCGTTTTTTTATTCTGTTTTCATTGAATTTCTGAGTATCCAATTTTGAGTTGTAACGATCTGATGTTTGAATTCGCAGAAAAAATTTGAGATTCGCCATGGCTAAAAGCTCGTTCAAGCTTGAACACCCTCTAGGTTTTTCTTGTGACAATTTTGACTCTTTTGACCATTTCTTGAACTTTCGTTTTTCCCCTTGTGATGTGTCATGTCAGTTTTCGTCTACTTTTGATGCTTAATTGATTACTTGCGTTTTAATTTAAGTTTTTGGGTTGTTGATGTTGGATGCTTTATCCATTTCTGGGAGTTTTTCCCCTGCGCTCATGACTGAAGACCGACCCCGCCCACGTCGGCATTAAATTAGGACTATTCTTATGATTGCGAAAGGGTTTATTTGAACTCTGTAATTGAGGATTCTTATAGTGAAATCATGTTTCCGCCGTACGTTTGGTTCTCCAGGGTTGATCGTAAGACCAGTGTTTTGATTTTTGCGCTCTCTCAGCCTCCTTTTGATATTGTTTCAGTGCGACAATTGATCAAAGTCACTTCCACCCCATTTTTTGCATCATCTTTATTTTGTTCTAAAACTATTCTCCTATATTCTAGAAAGGAGACAAGCTGAAGCTGTTCGCATCAGGGAGAAATACCCGGATAGGATTCCCGTAAGAATGTTAAACATTCATGATACAGTGTTAAGCACGACATGCACTTCAATTTTTCTCTGTTAATATGATTTAATAACTGCAGGTGATTGTGGAGAAAGCAGAAAGGAGTGACATTCCTGACATAGATAAGAAGAAGTAAGTTCCATAATGACTTGATTATACATAAATCAGTTCAAATTGGACTTCTTGACTGAAATGAGCTGCTATGAATCCGGAATGGGAGGCCTCTAATTGAGTTATAATTCCAGAACTTGGTTTATATGATTTCGTGCTGGCTTATTCTTTCATTTCCATAAAAATTGCAAATCAAGATGGTACATGGATGGTCTTGATTGTTGACAAATATTAAGTGTCGTGGTGATGGTTTATTTTTGTTCTAGTGTTGATAGGAAGAACATACACGGTGGGCAACTGTGAGATCCCACATTGGTTGGGGAGGAGAACAAAACATTCTTTATAAGGGTGTGGAAACCTCCCTTTAGCAGACTATGTTTTAAAAACTTTGATAGGAAGCCCAAAAAAGAAAACCCAGAGGGCAATATCTGCTAGCGGTGGACTTGGGCTGTAACGAATTGTCCATTACTTTTGGTAGTTCTAGTTCGATTGAACGTAATTAAGTGCTGGGTGGGGGGAAAATATAACTCCCTAATGGTATTATATAATTCTCTCAGGTACCTCGCCCCTGCTGATCTGACTGTTGGGCAGTTTGTTTATGTTATCCGGAAAAGGATTAAGCTTAGTTCTGAGAAGGCGATTTTCATCTTTATAAAAAACACACTACCTCCAACTGGTTAGCTGGATTTCTGTTTCTTTTCATATATATTTCACAGCGTAGCCTGAAGAAGTTGCATTTGGATTTGCATTTGTTTGATATTATCTATTGTATTGCCACAGCTGCTTTGATGTCAGCAATCTATGAAGAAAACAAGGATGAAGATGGTTTTCTTTACATGACTTACAGTGGGGAGAACACCTTTGGATTCTGATTGCTTCAAATCAAAGCTCATCTCCCTGTAAATAGAACTTAAAAAGCTGTAAATTCTCCCTGCCTTCTTTCTTTCCCTTTGCCAGCAATGGTAGTGCCATTTAAGACTTAATATAAGTGTTGGATTCTGGATTTGTTGGTGTTCTCCCCCGCCCCAACTAGAAACAAACATGGGTGTCTGCTTGGTGAGACTCCGTACGTCCAAATTCACCAGTGTCTATTCCATGGAATTATCAGATTTTCTGGAAATTTTATTTTCACGTTTGCTTCATCGACATTTAATCATTCACGATAATCTAGTGTTTTAAGTCAATGAGGATGGGAATTGGAACTGAATTGTATTATTCGACGACTAATCGATTAAACTTATTGCATGGTGAATTTTCATGACTTTGCTTCTCATACCGATGGCTCAAAAGTCGAGTTTTTCTTCAGGTGCAACATTGGGTGTTTTGAACATCTGACAATTAATAAAACATATTTTAGGTCACTTAAACTATATGTTTAATTTGAATATATCTCAAATATTTATATAAACTTTAATTTTGAAAAAAAAACTAAGTTTCACCAACAAAAAAATTAAAAAATACACGAATTAAATACATAATAAGTTTGAAGGTTAATTTCACTAAGAAAATATAGATTTATTGCCGTTTTCTTTAAATTTTTATTAATTTTATGTTGTACAATGTTTATGTTCATTGAATGCACAATTTTTATTAATTATAAACTTTCTTAAAATTTAGGATTAAGATTCTAATATCTATCTAAATGCGAGGTGGAGTTTGAAGAAATTAAAAATTTAAGGTTAAAATTGATATTCCATTTTTACTGAAAAAATTAAATATGAGACCAAATTTATTTTAAAAGTTTTTATTTAATTATTTATAGTTTAAACTTAAATTAAAATTTTTTAGTTTGAAAGAACCTCCGGCGGAAAATTGGAAATCGACTACGCACGTGAGATGTCATTCTGCGTCGGTTAAAGATTGCTACGTTACCGTACGATGCAGCGACGTGAATGGATTTTGCACCAATCTAAACGCGCCACCTGGACAAGAAGTTCAGGATCCTCTGATCCCCAAATTCCGTCCAGGTTCAATGTATCAAATTTGATTTAAACTTCCGTTCTAAAGTTTTACAGAGCAAGAAATCATAGACGAAGAATTACATTAATTCGAAAAGCAACCGAAAGAGCGAGCAAGATTCTTTGATCCTTCATGGCGCTTGCTGCTTCTTCTGTTTCTAATTTGCTGCATTTTGCTGTTTCCTCTGATGCTAAAGGTATTGTTCACAAATGCAGTCCCACGTTTACATTATGTAGCGAAGCTGAAGATTTTTGTTAAGATTTTTCTTTTTGTGTGCGAATGATGCTTTGAAGAGTTGCATGTTGAGTACAATGTTAATTCTTAATTGTACATATTGTTTCGATTCGCAGCTCCACGAATTGGTTCTGTTCAGCCGTTGAATTGGCCGCACGTTTTGTCTTCTGGAGTCAATTATTTACGAAGAGGATGCCGGGTGAAGCCTATTAATTCGCAATCTCAACGGAATGATTTGTTTGTGCCTCTTGCGGTGAATACCCTTGCTTCCGGTAATTCTATCTAATTGTTTCTCTTTTTCACCAATTAGACTTCATTTCCGGAATTTGTGTAAATAAAATGTTCTGGTGTGGATAATGAGGATGTTTTGGACTTGGATCTGCAGAGGTGGTAGAGAAAGCTGAGACGGTAGACTACGATGGATTGGCTAAAGACTTTGAAGATGCTTCCCCTCTGGAAATAATGGACCAAGCCCTCGAGAAATTTGGCAACGATATTGCAATTGCATTTAGGTGTGTTCTTATTCTGTCATTTGATTAAAGTGTGTCTATAGCTTTTATTATCGAACATCACATCCCAAATGTATGAAATTTCAAATTGCAGTGCTATTGAATCTATGGTCTGTAAGTACCACAGAGATTCGTGTTTCTGGAATTTATTTATCGTTGACCTAATCCTAATTGCTTCTGATTCTGCTAGTGTATTTATATTATCTCTTCCGCCACCTGTGACCATTTCTTCCATTTTTCATAATCTTTTATCTACGATCAGCTGTATATGGTAGTAGAGCATAATGGAACTAATAATATTAGATTTTTGATTTTTTGGTGTTCTTTCTGGATACTGAATTATAGTTTCAATGGTATTAATAATCTTCATCCTCCACAAGAATTTACTAGCAAAGAATCTGGTTTCTGATTCTTGGTCAGTTAAGTTGCAAAGAATCTCCTTGTGCTCCTCTAACTAACAAAAATTATCCACTGCAGTGGCGCGGAAGATGTTGCATTGATTGAATATGCTCGTTTGACTGGCCGACCATTTAGGGTGTTTAGCCTAGACACAGGGAGGTTGAATTCAGAGACATACCAATTCTTTGATGCAGTGGAGAAGCATTATGGCATCCATATAGAGTATATGTTCCCAGATGCTGTTGAAGTTCAGGGTTTAGTTCGGAACAAAGGGTTGTTTTCATTCTACGAGGATGGCCATCAGGAGTGCTGTCGAGTGAGGAAGGTGAGGCCTTTGAGGAGGGCTTTAAAGGGACTCCGAGCATGGATCACCGGACAAAGGAAAGATCAATCTCCTGGAACTAGGTCTGAAATTCCTGTTGTCCAAGTTGATCCTGTTTTCGAGGGGTTGGATGGAGGCATTGGGAGCCTGATCAAGTGGAACCCACTGGCCAACGTTGATGGTAAAGACATATGGAACTTTTTGCGGACCATGAATGTGCCTGTGAACTCTTTGCATTCTCAAGGATATGTCTCAATTGGGTGTGAGCCGTGCACGAGGCCTGTCCTTCCATGGCAGCATGAAAGAGAGGGAAGATGGTGGTGGGAGGATTCCAAGGCCAAGGAATGCGGTCTTCACAAAGGAAATCTCAAACAAGGAGATATTCCCCAACTGAATGGCAATGGAAATGGAACTCCCCTGGTTAATGACATCTTCATCTCCCAAAATTTGGTGAACCTGAACAGAACAGGAATAGAAAACTTGTCCAGGCTGGTGAACCGGAAAGAACCTTGGCTTGTTGTTCTTTATGCGCCATGGTGCCAATTCTGCCAGGTAAAAATCATTTTGCACGAAAACTTTTCAGTTGATAATTGTAATGGTATCAATAAAAAGTAGAATATATATTTGTTCATCACTAATTGACATTTTTGGGCGAGTTTGTACAGGCTATGGAAGGGTCATATGTTGAATTGGGTGAGAAGTTGGCAGGGAGTGGGGTGAAAGTTGGGAAGTTCAGAGCCGACGGTGAGCAGAAGGAGTTCGCGAAAGCAGAGCTGCAGCTAGGATCCTTCCCCACAATACTCTTCTTCCCCAAACACTCATCTAAAGCAATCAAGTACCCATCTGAGAAGAGGGATGTTGACTCGTTGTTGGCTTTTGTGAATGCTCTACGATGACATGTATAGATTCACATAAGCAAAAGAAGTCCTAAGATCCTAATACGGTCCATTAACAAAGGGAAAATACATACGGGCTCCAGTGCGAGGAAGGAAAATAACCAGTGCGATGGAAGACGAGATAAAAAATCAAAGCTTGGGCATCTTTCTGGAGCCGAGAGAGGGCATTGGGTCCTGATCTCGAAGCTCGCCCATGTTCTATACCTCTGCTGTGACAAACAATGGCACGAACATGTTCTTATGTATCTAACTCTAAACCCACCAAAACAATGCCTGCTGGTTTCTGGTTTCTGGTAACTGGCATTGAATTTGATGCCTTGTTATTAATTATGTAACCCTGTTTTCCCAGTTATCATTATGGCCTACTATTGACAATTAGTTTTGTAGCTTGAGTTGTTTTTCTTCATTTGCATTGCTTCAAAATGCATGATTTTGTATGCATACAGGCATCAGGGTATCCAATATCATATTACAGATCTCAAATCCCTCTTTCTATGGTAGATTAAAAGGGAGTTTCCCCATTTTGAAATGGAAGATTGAAATTTTATTTGAGATTCTCTTACCCAACCAATGAATCAACTTCGACCCGACACAATCACATGGGTCTCTACTCCGTTTGCATGTGATTTCGTATTGTTAATACAACTATACAAGCTACTAGACCAAATATCATTAGTTTCCAAGTATTTTCTTCTCTTTCTCACAAGAATCTCCCCCCACATCCTTCCTCTCTCTTCGGAGAGATTAACGTTGTCTTTGAAATCGGAAAGCTTACGCTAGTTATATACTATCATAGTGGAAAGTTATGATTCGCAATATCATGTCATTTTGGAAAGTTATGATTCATAACATACTTATTGTTAAATGACGACTCCCCCACAATAATATGATTTTGAGCTTTCCAAAATGACTCACACCAATGAATATACTATTTATTGATTATAAATTCATGATCATTCCCTAAATTAGCCAGATGTGGAACTTTCATCATCCAAAACCTCCTTTCGAACAAAGTACGCCTCCGAGGAGGCCCGACTTCTTTTCTTTTGGAGTCCTTTATTCGACATTTGAGGAATTACCAATCTATTGACATGGCTAAGTTTAGGGCATGACTCTGATACAATGTTAGATGAACACAACTCTCCACATTGGTACGATATTATCCACTTTGCTCTCATGATTTTGCTTTGAGGTACTGCTTGTTCCAATGAAAATAGTATTTTTTTTTATTATAAATCCATCCCCAATTTTGAGACTTTCATCGTAAACACTTAAATACTTCCAAATTTTGATGCTGGAAAGAACAACCGGCCGAGCATTTCAATATCTGAGAAGGTGCGGCGTCGGCGGCTGTGTAGTCCCCCTGAGGCCGTGACGGTGAGTTCACTGTTAAATGGCAGTATTAGAGGAATCTTGTATTATCCAACCTGCACGTGGAGAGGGGCAACCTTCGTAAATGCATCTGATCTTCATAATCATGACTTGTATTTTTCAACGCAATCGCGGCCATTCATTTCAACATTGCCTAACCCATTTGCGCCTTTCAAGCTGAGATTGACGGTGGATGATTGGAAGAACCATCCTCCGCACTTCACTACATCACCTACGGTTCTGAACTATAACACTGACTACTCACAAGCCTTCCACACAGCATTCTAGGTAACATCCAAGGCGGACTTCTCCTTATTCAAAGGCAAAGCACCACAAAACAAAATTGTAGAGAGAGAGAGAGTTCGGTAGATTTAGAGATATAGAAAGCAACCCTTTTGGTTCCTTTCTTTTCTCAATCCCCTTTTCTCGTAGATCTGTCACATTGTTCATTCCAGCTGATTTCAAGCTCATTTTGCAATGAGGGAAAACAGAATACTCTGTTCTCTCATAATCTTTGTTCTTTTTGCTGTTAATGAGGTTACTGCTGACAACCCATATAGGTTTTTCACGTGGAAAGTCACTTATGGTGTTATCTATCCGCTTGGAGTTAAGCAACAGGTGCTCTGTTTCTTTCAGCTTGCTTCTTCAATCTAAAAGTTCACATTTTTTGTCTTCTTTTCTCAAAAACCACTGTTTTTTTCTTAATATGGCATCTTGAAAAGAATGAGTTTGGAGCTTATTGGTTGTTGTGGGGAACATTTTGCAGGCAATCTTGATTAATGGGCAGTTCCCAGGGCCTCAGATCGATGCTGTTACGAATGATAACTTGATTATCAATGTGTACAACTATCTCAAGGAGCCGTTTCTCATTTCTTGGTAACATTACTAATCATATTTATACTTTCTATCAACATAATGCTATGAAGCTTTCTGTTTGATTCCCGGGAAACTGCATGAAAGTTTGAATCCAAATCATGGGAGTTCTCGACCTGGGATTACTTGCCTTGTCTGAGACCATGGCCAACAGACATTAATTTCCTGTCTGTTACTCTGCCGATGATGTTCATTTACTCTCATTTGAGAGTGGCAAAGGTCAAATCGCTGCATCCAATTTTTCTAGATCTAAGTTATAGCGCAGTAAAGTCTTGAGTTTTTGAAATGAGGGATGTTTTTTTGGTAAATCTTGTGAAGAAAACATCCTATTTAATCACTTTTGTCTGTCTCTTGTTCTTGTTTGGTTGCAGCTCCTTTCAAGTGTGTGTCATTAAAGCAACCTTAAATGATGTTCATATTAGTCAATGACAATCTGGTCTGTTGTAATTATTTTTCTGCGTGATTAAAATATTCTTCTTCACTAGCAGGTATCTTTTGGTAGATCTTAGTGTTCATATGCTAGATTTTTACATCTTTATTCATTTATTTAAGAAGCTGCTCCATATGCAGCCACATTAATGGCTAAAATAAGGCATAATTATGATCTTTGAATCTTTGTCTGCATGGTGTACGGATTTTGTTGATCTGAACTGCATCGAATCTGATGGGTCCTTTGTAAGGAGAAGAAATCATTACATTTGTTCCATTTTCTTTTACCTTCAACTTCCTGGCCTCCTCATCCAAAGAACAAAATAAGGGAATTAGATATTTTCCGTTTTGTACCGTTGTTTTGGGATAAGATTGGACGATTCTGAGAAGGAAATATGAGCATTTGTTGTGGATTTAACTGTGCAGGAACGGGTTACAGCAGAGAAGGAACTCATGGCAAGATGGAGTTTATGGGACTACTTGTGCTATCCCTCCACTGAGGAACTTCACTTATGTTCTACAAGCAAAGGACCAAATTGGCAGTTACTTCTACTTCCCATCAACAGCATTTCACAAAGCAGCTGGAGCATTTGGAGGCATCAGAATTTGGAGCCGACCCGGAATTCCCGTTCCTTTTGCTCCTCCTGCAGGCGACTTCACCGTGCTAGCTGGTGACTGGTTCAAGACCAATCATTATGTAAGCATTCTATGCCCTAATCATATTACTGTTGAGGATTGTTGGGAGATGAGTCCCACGTCGGCTAATTAAGAGGTTGATCATGAGTTTATAAGTAAGGAATACATCTTCATTGGTATAAGCAAAGTCATGAGAGCTTATGCTCAAAGTGGACAATATCATACAATTAAGTCATGCCCTTAAGTTAGTCATGTCAATAGAATTCTCAAATGTCGAACAAAAAAGTTGTGAGCCTCGAAGGTTTAGTAAAAAATGACTAAAGTGTCAAACAAAGAGTGTAGTTTGTTCGAGGACTCCAGAGAAGGAGTCGAGTCGAGTCTCGATTAAAGGGAGACTGTTCGAGGGCTCCATAGGCCTCAGGGGAGGTCTATGGTGTACTTTGTTCGATGAGAGGATTGTTTAGGATTGTTTGGTTGACGATGAGTTTATAAGCAAGGAATACATCTTCATTGGTACGAGGCCTTTTGGGGAAACCAAAAGTTAAGCTATGAGAGTTTATGCTCAAAGTAAACAATATCATGCCACTGTGGAGGGTCGTGATTCCTAACCGTTACAATTTGTCTTACAATGTAAAATTCTGTTAAAAGCTGGTTTCTCATTCCTTCTTAGATTTTGAGACGAGTTCTGGAAAGCGGTCGTAATCTTCCATCTCCAGACGGGCTTCTAATCAACGGTCGAGGATGGAATGGATATACATTCAATGTTAATCCAGGTGAGCTGAGCATCAATATTTGCAGCTAACTCAGTCCACAAGAACACTCATTTCTTGCTGTCTGTTACCTTATTATTTGTTTTCAGGGAAGACATACAGGTTCAGAATATCAAATGTGGGACTTTCAGCTTCCATTAACTTCAGAATTCAAGGCCATGTGATGAAACTGGTGGAGGTAGAAGGATCCCACACTCTCCAGAACACATATTCCTCTCTTGACATCCATTTGGGGCAATCCTACTCTGTCTTGGTCACTGCTGATCAGCCTCCTAAGGATTACTATGTTGTCGTTTCCTCTCGGTTTACGTCTCCAATCCTCACGACGACAGCCGTTCTTCACTACAGCAATTCATGGCAGAAAGTTTCTGGTCCAGTTCCCGGTGGCCCGACCACCGAGATCGCTTGGTCTCTCCAGCAGGCCAGATCCATCCGGTAACTTGTCAGCTCCTTATTAGCCTGTCTGTTGCTTGTTAGTATAGTATTGTTTTATTTTGTGTGGCTGCATTGCTTATGGTTTCATTCTCTTGTGCAATCAGCTGGAATCTGACTGCAAGTGGACCGAGACCGAATCCACAAGGCTCCTACCATTATGGACTGATCAAGACGAGTCGTACGATAATACTAGCGAACTCGGCCCCCATTATTAATGGCAAGCAGAGGTTTGCTGTCAATAGTGTCTCATTTGTTCAAGCAGACACTCCATTGAAACTAGCTGACTATTTCAAGATCCCTGGAGTTTTCAATCTCAACAGCATTCCCACCACTCCCACTTGGGGAAATGCATACCTCCAGACATCTGTCATGGGTTCTAACTTTCGAGAATACGTTGAGATCGTGTTTCAAAATTGGGAAGACACCGTGCAGTCTTGGCATATCGATGGCTACTCCTTTTTTGTTGTCGGGTAAAAGCTTATTTCACCTCGTTTATTCATCTTTTTGATGAAACAAAGGATCAGTTTTTGTGAGATCCTACATTGGTTGGAGAGGAGAATGAAGCATTTCTTATAAGAGTGTGGAGACCTCTCCTTAGTAGACACGTTTTAAAACCGTGAGGCTAACAACGATACTAACGGGCCAAAATGGATAATATCGGCTATCGGTGGGCTTAGGCTATTACAAATGGTATCAGAGCTAGACACTGAGCAGCGTGCCAGCGCGGACAGTGGCCCCCAAGAGGGGTGGATTGTGAGATCCCACATTGGTGGGAGAGAAGAACGAAACATTCTTCATAAGAGTGTGGAGACCTCTTCTAGGTAGATGCGTTTTAAAACGTGAGGCAAATGACAATACGTAATGAGTCAAAGCGGACAATATATACTAGTGGTAGGCTTGGGCTATTACAAATGGAATTAGAGCCAGACATCGGGCGGTGTGCCAGCAAGGACGTTAGCCCTCAAAGGGGGTGGATTGTGAGATCTCACATCAGTTGGAGAGGAGAACGAAACATTCCTTATTAGAGTGTGGAGATCTCTCCCTAGTAGACATGTTTTAAAACAGTGAGACTGACGACAATACGTAACCGACCAAAACAAACAATATCTACTAGTAGTGAGTTTGGGCTTAGGCTTGGACATAGGCCGTTAAAGTTTCAGTCTCACTAACATAGAAGCTGGATTTGATCACAGGATGGACGGAGGCCAATGGACTCCTGCCAGCAGAGCTCGATACAATCTAAGAGATACCGTCGCCCGCTGCACGACTCAGGTAATTCCCACTTACAAACACGGAGAGATCTAATTACTATATGTGTCTCTAAACTTAAGATGATGAACTTCAGGTGTATCCAAAGGCATGGACTGCTATCTATATGGCACTTGATAATGTAGGAATGTGGAATGTGAGATCTGAGAGTTGGGCAAGGCAGTACTTGGGGCAGCAGTTCTATCTCAGAGTTTATACCTCATCAACCTCTTTCAGAGATGAGCTCCCAATCCCCCGAAACGCTCTTCTTTGCGGGAGGGCCCGTGGTCGTCACACAAGGCCGCTCTAAGTTTCGAAATCGTATAATCTTTGTCACGAATGGGTGACATGGTTCGAATTGATGATTGTTTTAGCATATCTTAGATTAGTGTTCCTGTTGGATATAACTTATTCAAAATGCTCAACTTGAGCTCATGAGTCAAATTTATCCCATTACCTTGGTTGAATTTCAACGTTCCACATTCCATATTATTTTTCATCACCTAATTGCATTAATCTTACTATATGAATATCAATTAACTTTTGTTTTAGTCAAAAGCAATTTGATACCATCAACAACTATTAAACACAACTACATTTGTATCAAATTAAGTTAATCAATAGAAAAATTATCATAATTTAGATTTAGCACGTGTCCCAGCATTCCCTGCGAAATGGTCTGTTAACTACTACTCGCTTCTAAGAGTGAAGACTATCCCTATAGACCAACACAAGTCATTCTAGTATACTTTATCCTGAGGTTACCGAACATATAATTGCTCTAAAAAATCCATACTTAACTCAAAGTTCCTATGTTTGAGCTATTGAAAATGAAGGTGCACATTGTTGGTATAAGTAGTGACTTTCAACTCTTTCAAGTATTTTTTAGTCATCCTATCTTCAAGATCACTCAAATATGGTCTCGATTCATTTATTCAAGTATCACAAAAACACCTAATAAATGATGTATTCAAACTACATTGGCTTTGAGGTTATCTAATACCATACACTTCCTTGGTCTTTGAAAATAAGGATATATATATATATATATATATAAAAGGCATATCTAGAAGATAATATTCTGATAGAGAGTTGCGTAAGTGGGAGTAGTTCATGCTCCATTGATGAAAAGCAATGGAAGCAGGTTAAGCTAAACCTATTTCAAATCAAACTCAAAACCCAAATTCTTTACATCCCATTGGCTAATAATCAATTTTCAAACACATATTTCAATTTTGTACGCTAATTCCATAAAATGTTTTTTTTTTTTTTTTTTTTAAAGAAGATAAGTACTCATTTAAAAATATAAATTAAAAAAAAAAACATAATTATAATTTATGTTTAAAACATTTTTATAATATATTTGTCTTGTGTAATACAAATATACATTTTAAAATTCAAATTCAAAAATATTAAAATTAAAAAAAAAAAAAAAAAAAGTCATGCAATAATACATTAATAGATTACATTTTTAGGTGTGTGTTGGAGAGCACTATAATTTATCAATGCAGCCAAGATTTGATGAAAAAGATACATATTTTTCAAAGTCTCTTCATTCATGCATTGACCTTGAAGTTTTTGCTTTTAAAATAATAATAAAATTCAATAAATAAAACCAGGTTTAAATATAACTCAATAAATAAAATATTTATTATTTTTACGTATTAATTTTGGTTGAAATAATAAAAATGCATCATATATGTTACATTAAAGTATGGGAAGTTGGTTCTTTCACGTGGCCTAAGAGCTTGTGTGTCGTGGTGGAACAATATTTGGATGTGACATAATAAAAATTCAGTTAGCATAAATATATAAATATAATCCATATTAAAAATAATAATAAAGTAGAATGACAGACTGGACTTTATTATAAAACTTTATTATAAAATAAATCACATGGGTTTCTTGCTTGAAGCTCCGATTATGGGTGACAATGCCAATATATATATATATATATATTTCATTACCCCTTTTTTTTTTCGATTCTGTCACCTACTCCACCTTCTTGCAAATTTAATTATTTAATTATTATTTCCATTTTTTAATTAAACACATTTAGTTAAATGACACCTGTCTTATGAAACTACTGAAATTTTTAATATTCTACACTTGGGATACTAATTTTGTGTACTTAATAATATCCTTAAATTTTAAAAAAATATAAAAATATTTTTAAAGATATTTTTTTAAGCAAAGTATAAACTATTATTATATATTTATAAATTAAATATATATTAATTATTAGTTTGAATTTTTTTAATTTAATTATAATTTAATATGATACTATAGTAGTAGGGAGCTTGTGCTTGATCTCTTTCATTTATTTATATTTGTGTTACTTTAGCATAAAGAATGTATTTGATAAAGTATTTCATTAAATACTTGCTTTTTTTGATAATATATTGTACATTTTGTTATTTGAAAAATAAAATATAAATTATGATTTGAAAAATTATTTTAAAAACCATTGTTGCTTTATATTCTAAAAGGGGTAAGTACAAGAATTAAAACTGGTACCAAATATATGATTTTGACCATATTTAGATGAAGAAACATGGGAAACCAGTTCATACTTTCAATTTATGTAATGAAAGGATAAATTCTGATTAGGTCCATATTATTAATTAACCACGTTATTTTTATTTAAAATCACTTTTCAATTTATTCCAAAAAAAAAAAAAAAAAGTTATAGCTCGATGCTCGTGAACTTATGAACCATCTTGACTTCAACTAAGTCCAGAAAGCGATCACTTAGACAACTTTGACCTGCCAATCGTTGGCAAGTCATTTCCAACCTTCTTTTAATTACTTTAATCGGACTTGCTAATCAAGGGCTTAAACCTTAATCAAACCAAAATAACAATCTAATGATTGACAGCTTGCATCAATGTTTAGGCGGGTTTCTTGGAGTTTTGATCCCCAAGAAAGTGGGACTTAAGAACTCTTTTCCGAGAAGTTTCCTTAGAGCCGAGACCTTCATTTTACCTTTACCACTTAGGAACGGAAGGAAACCCTCCCCTTGTGAAAAGGTGTATCCCTCCCCTAGCAATCTAGACGAAAACATAAACTTTCAATTTTATCCTTCAATAACTTTAGTAAACAATTTAAATTAAACAGTTGATAATTCTAAATTTTTTAATTCAATATTAAATGAACAAATCAAGAATTTTGTTAATATTTTTGAATAGAGGTAGAATGAAATTATTCCCATAGATTTGAGATGTTTTTGAAAGAGAAGGTAAGGTAAAGGAAGATGGTGGTAGGTAGCGCAGCACTATAGTAAATTGAAGTTAGGAGTGAGTAAGACAGGACAGTAAAGGGGAAAGAGGGTGCGGCTTCCTCTTTATAAGGCACAGACATCAAGCTCAATCCATGCAACTTCTCTCCTAGTGTTGTATCCGGGGAGCAGTAATTATGGCCCATTTTTGTTTCACGTTTCTCTGTCTTATTCTTCTTGTTTTGGGTCGATTTAGTTTTGGGCATGGAGGGGACCCCGGGTGGGGATTTAACAATGATGAATCCTGCCGGTATTGGCGGGGGTGCGGAAGCTTCTTTGGGTGGCCGGTTGACAAGGGTTCAGCCGGAGGTGGTGGTGGGGGCGGTGGTGGAGGCCATTCAGGAGGTGGGGTTGGGTCTGGCTATGGTGAGGGTTATGGAGCTGGGTTTGGTGTAGGTAGTCATGGTGGTAGTGGCGGTGGCGGTGGGGGAGGGTATGGTGGAGGTGGGTCTGAAGAAGGGTCTGGTCATGGTAGTGGATATGGAGCTGGCGGTGGTGGTGGGGCTGGAGGAGGTGGAGGAGGAGGAGGTGGTGGTGGAGGTGGTAATGGTTACGGCCAAGGAATGGGATTCGGTGCAGGATTTGGGTTTGGTGGCGGAGGGGGTGGCGGAGGAGGTGGCGGCGGTGGTGGGAATTCTGTTCGGGGAGGGGAGGCGTATGGACATGGAAGTGGGTTTGGGGGAGGTGGTGGTATTGGTGGCGGTGGAGCTGGAGGGGGAGGCGGCGGCGGCGGCGGTAGTGGAGGTACAAATGGAGGAAATGGCTACGGTAGTGGATTTGGAGGTGGCGTAGGTATTGGAGGAAGCGGCAGTGGTGGAGGCGGCGGCGGAGGAGGAGGAGGAGAAAGTGGTCCACATGGAGGATATGGGAAAGGGGAGGGCGGTGGTTTTGGAGGCGGAGAAGGGTTTACAAATAGCGTTGGCAGCAGCGGTGGGAAGGGCGGACAAGGCATGGGGATGGGATTCGGGATGGGGTTCGGGATGGGGATTGGGTTTGGAATGGGAAACACCAACAATGGAGCCGATGAGTCCAACGGTCAAGCTCAAGCTAAAACCACCATTGCCAAACCTTAGACACCTTTTCCCATTACTCATTACCATTGCCATGCAGTCTAAGATAATACAAAATTTGTTTGTAATCTTTATAAGCCATTATTTTTCATGCATTTACTATATATATATATATATTTTGTTGTGAAACCTCTCTCTAATAAAATAAAATAATGAGTTTGATAGTGGTATGCAACAAGCAAAAGCAGACAACATTTGCTAATGGTGAGCTTGTGTCATTACAAATGATATTAAAGCCAAATACGAGACGGTGTCCCGGCGAGAACACTAAGCCCCCAAAAAGGGTGGATTGTGAGATCGATGACAATACATAACGGACCAAAACAAACAATATCGACTAGGGTGAGCCTAAGCTCTTACAAAAATATTTAGATTATTCTATTTAGTTTAAAGAGAAAATATATTTTGAATTTAAACCGTCGAAACAACATTTAAAAAAAACATACTAAAAAAACTAAGTTAATTTTTTTTATTGAAATTTTAGAGAACAAACAATATTTTTCCTTTTATTCATGAACAATTACTTTAAAAAAAACATTTTTTAAAAAAATTTAGCAAATTTTTAGAAAATATTATAAAGTCGCTCAATCAAATATTAAATAAACAACCTATTAATTATAATTAATAATCTTACAATATTCTCTATAAAACTAGGCCCGATATTACTAAACTCACCTAACCAGGCCTAGCCCATTTTTATCCATCGGCGGTAATCGCTAGACTAGGCCCAGCCCAATATTCCGAAGCCCATCCTCATCGACTCGTCGTCCCACTCTCCAATGGAGCTACTACACTGAACAGTACTTTTCAATTCCATTCCGCTTTAAAGCAAAGCAGTGAGGTTGGCTCAAATCCGACGTCGTTTCGCTGAAAGGCGGTGATAGCGTCGTTCCAATCACCGGTACTGCCGTCGCGGTGGCGCATGATCGAGGATCTTCCTAAACTCAAATAGTATAAGATATGGCCGTTTTAACCAAATCAAAGTCGCATTAGGTGATTATGGTTAGTTTTATTTGTTTATCAAATTAATTTTATTCTCCTTTTTCGTTTCTATTTCCTAGTTCTGAATTGATCGCTCACCCCACCATTGTGTCAATAGTGCTACGAGTTTAACGGTGGAGATTTCCTGCTTTTTGTATTTGATTTTAGTATCTGGCGCTGTACATTGTGGGTATGAATTTGATCGAAGAATGGGCAGAGAGTTTTAAGAGATTAGGGTGTGTATGAAATTGTGTCACCACCACCCATTGAAGATGGGGTATTTTTGGCTGCTCGATTAGGAGAGGGCACCCTACGCCACCCACTTCATATTTCACCGAACCTCTCAGTTATTTTTTTTCTTTGATTGTTGTTATTTTGTTGCTATGTGATGTTAAATAACCTACAAATATATAAAGGTTCATGCCTTTTTCTCTCCTCCTGATATCTTGAGACTGATCCACAACTGCTCCTTTTGGCTGTCAGATTTGTTTCCTTGAAGAACAAAATTTGAAGGGCCAACAAGAAAACCCATCTCTGTAAGGTCTTCGTTCTTTCTCTTCTCTTCATTTCTGGGTTTTATTAGCTGCTGACATTGCGTTTTTCAATGTGTGTTCTTACCTTTTCTGATGATTTTTCTCTTCCTCTTGCGGTTGGTCGATTGGCCCTGTGAGTTTCTGGGATAGTTTGATGGGATATTGGAAATTTATGTTGAAAGATACACACAAACACCCTGTTTTGTTGATTTGATATTCATGATTAGAACTTGGAATTTGATTTTCTCTGGATTTCTTAAAGTAGTTGTGCTATAAACTTGACTGCTTTGGATATTTTTTTTAGATGGTCAGTCTATAATTGTTCCTGGCGGTGTTTCAAAATCACATGCACTCAATGTTTTGCATTCCATCTTGTTCTTTGGTAATAAGGTACATGGTGCGGGAGATCCCACCTTAGTAGGGGGAGAAGAATGAAACACCTTTTATAAGGGTTTGAAAGCCTCTCCCGGTTAGATGCATTTTAAAACTGGGAGGGAAAGTCTGGAAGAAAAAACCCAAAGAGACTATTATTTGCTAGTGTTAGGCTTGAGTTGTTATAAATGGTATGAGAGCTAGACAACGGGCGATGTGCCAGCGAGGAGGCTGAGCCCAAAGAGGGGTGATGAGGTGATGTCCAGCAAGGATGCTGGGCCTCGAAAGGGGATGGATTTGGTGAAGGTCCCACATCGATTGGAGAAGGGAACGAGTGCCAACGAGGACGCTTGGCCCTGAAGAGGGTGGATTGTGAGATCCCACATTGGCTGAGAAGGAGACGAAACACCCTTAATAAGGGTGTGGAAACCTCTCCCTAGTAGACACGTTTTAAAACTTTAAGGGAAAACTCTAAAAGGAAAATCCGAAGAAAACAATATCTGCTAGCGGTGGATTTGGGCGGTTTAATTTTGAAGTAGAGCTTTATCGCCTAAATTTCTTTCAATTCTATGTCCAGATATTCTAGAGTAGCAAGATGAGGGGAGGTCTATGGCAACTGGGGCAATCAATTACTCGCCGTCTTGCCCAGTCTGATAAGAAGGCTGTGGGACGTCGATTCTTTTCTGGGGAGTCTGAGCTCAAGAAAACTGTTCTATATGATTTTCATGTTGCTCATGGTGGAAAGATGGTTCCATTTGCTGGATGGAGCATGCCTATTCAGTACAAGGACTCAATAATGGATTCGACTGTGAACTGTAGGCAGAATGGTGGACTGTTTGATGTCTCCCATATGTGTGGACTGAGCCTTAAGGGGAAGGATTCTATCCCTTTCCTTGAATCACTTGTTATTGCTGATGTTGCTGGTCTTGCTCCTGGAACTGGAACACTTACTGTCTTTACCAATGAAAAGGGTGGCGCCATTGATGACTCAGTGATCACCAAGGTCACAGATGACCACCTATATTTGGTTGTCAATGCGGGCTGCAGAGACAAGGATTTAGCTCACATTGAGGAGCACATGAAGGCCTTCAAGGCCAAAGGAGGCGACGTTTCTTGGCATATTCATGATGAGAGATCTCTTCTAGCTCTCCAGGTTTACATATTCCATCCATTTCGTTTACCCATCCGAAATTTAAATTGGGTAATTTCTTGTGATACCAATGTGAAAAAGTTCATTGAATTCCTTTCATAGGGCCCTCTTGCTGCACCATCTCTTCAACAATTGACTAAGGACGACTTGAGCAAGCTTTACTTTGGGGAGTTCCGCATATTGGATATCAATGGAGCCCATTGTTATCTCACCAGGACAGGGTAAGCTTCATTTTGGCTTACATTTCTCTTTCCAATCTGAATGAGCCAAGTTTTTTGAAACCTCGTGAAATGTTTGAAGAACTGAACAATGTTATTAACGTTGATCGCCCAACAAAATAGTTGTTTAGTTGTTTAGCAAATGACTCAACCTATACATCCGGTATTTACACACTTTTGCCCCAGCTACCACTATCCTTGGGAAACCTTGGAGAAACTGTTTGAAGTCCATTTATCAATGGCTTGGCTCTCAACGTCGAGTTCTAGTATCATGTTGGCTCGAACCCGTTACAGTTTCTTATATGTACTTGTGAAATAATCAGGTACACAGGTGAAGATGGATTTGAAATATCAGTGCCTTCAGAACATGCTGTGGATCTCGCCAAAGCAATCTTGGAGAAATCAGAGGGGAAGGTAAGATTGACAGGACTGGGCGCTCGAGACAGTCTTCGGCTCGAGGCTGGCTTGTGTTTATACGGCAATGACATGGAACAACATATAACACCAGTGGAAGCAGGATTAACATGGGCCATAGGGAAAAGGAGGAGAGCAGAAGGGGGTTTTCTTGGTGCTGAGGTGATTCTGAAACAACTTGAAGAGGGCCCAGCAATAAGGCGTGTTGGGTTCTTCTCTTCAGGCCCTCCTGCAAGAAGCCACAGTGAGATTCAGAATGAGGAAGGAAAAAGCATTGGAGAAGTCACCAGTGGAGGATTTAGCCCATGCCTGAAGAAGAACATCGCTATGGGTTATGTGAAATCTGGCTCTCACAAGGCTGGCACCAAAGTTAAGATCATTATCAGAGGAAAGGCCTACGATGGTGCTGTCACTAAAATGCCATTCGTTCCTACAAAATACTACAAGCCAACATAGTTCATGTCTGCCATGCTGTCCTGTCCTCTCCTGTCCTGTAAGATTTTTCTGATCTGACCCTTTTCTCCTAAAATTCTGTATTTCCTAAATGTCAGAAGAAGTATTGGGGTATTTGTTTTCAAATTGCGCTAATAAGAACTTGTTGATCATAAATATGTCCTCTTGCATTTGAGCCATCCCCATGGAAGTGGTGAAGGGAGGCCCAGTTGGTAGGAAATAACATGCCACCTTTAACTTAGTCATGTCAATTGAATCCTCAAACTTCGAATAAAGAAGTTAGGGAGAAAGGACTCAAGCTTTTCATTTAAGAAGAGGTGTTTAAAAGCTTCATAGGCGTCACGAGAGATTCTATGTTGTACTTTTCTAAAGGAAAGATTGTTGAATACTATTAAAAGGGAAGCTTAGTTTTGACAATTTAAAGTCTTAATTTTGTTGCTAATTTAATTTTCATAGAAAAATGTCGAATATAAATCTAAATTTGAATGAGTGGTTAGATTTTGACTTACCAAATGGGAAATTCATTTGTCAAAGTCTCAAAAACTTACACACGAACCGGCTTAGTGAAACGCGTCAAAGAACATAACTTTACGGATTCATTCTTGAAATGAACGAACAAACTTGAAACACAGACGCATGGAGCCTATGGGTTGTCAGAACAGAACCATGTTTGTCGGTTTAAAGGCAATTTTTGAACAAAAACATGTTATCTTCTCCATTATTACGTCTTTTATAGCTGTTTGGAGTTGGGTGAAGGAACCGTCATAGATTTGTGTTCTGTAACACATCAGCCTTTTCCCACTGCTCTAGTATTGAACTTGAGAATCAACCACTTCGTACATCTCTGCCTTTCTATATATACATAGAAATTTGAAGCCATTTTATTCAAATCAGCTGTTTCTCTCTTTGCTTCAAAACCTGAGCTTTCCATATCAGTGATTACATGGCTGCATTTAGAACTGCAACCTTAATGGATTTCAAGAGATCTTCGTCTTTGTCGTCGGCACCTTCTCGATCAGGCAATTGCAGCACAGGAGTTTGTAAAGCTACAACGAGTTCACCCATGTTTAAAGCCACTCCTGTGTCTCTACCTAACTTGCAAAGCAGAGATTTTGTTGAGAAATTGGGGATGGGAAGTGGGTTTAAAATTCCAAGTGTTGCGAGTCAGCCAGATCCTGTCGTGGCTGCCAAGTTTTATGCGGTTAAGGAAGCCATAGCAGATAGAGTGGAAATGCATTGGAATGTTGGGGTGCAACGTGACAATTGGAACCGACTCTTGCTGACTTCCTTGAATGCAATTACTCTTGGAGCTGCTACCATGGTTGGGTTGGCAGCTGCAGCCACGACCGGTGCACCTATCATGGCGCTAAAGATATCATCGACGTTGCTATATTTAGCAGCGACTGGAATGTCGGTGGTGATGAACAAGTTACAACCATCCCAACTAGCAGAAGAACAAAGAAATGCTGCTAGGTTGCTCAAGCAGCTTCACTGTCAGCTTCAGTCCAAACTCTCCCTGGGAGATCTCAACAACAACCAAGTAGACGAAGCCATGGAGAAAGTGTTGGCTTTGGATAGAGCATACCCTCTTCCTTTATTAGGATCCATGATTGAAAAATTCCCCACCAATGTGGAGCCTGCAACTTGGTGGCCTCAACAAAAGAAAATGCAGAAGCCTAAGCATAAGCAAGCAAGCACGAAGCTCGGTGGAAATGGATGGAGTAGGGCGCTAGAAGATGAAATGAGAGAGATTGTTGGGGTGCTAAAGAGAGATCAGCAAGAATACTTGAGATTGAGCCAAACGGCCTTACAAATCAACAAGATTTTAGCAGTTTCTGGTCCATTATTAACCTTGCTTGGAGCATTTGGGTCAGTCCTTGTAGGTTCTTGCTCAGGGGCATGGCCTGTTATGCTTGGAGTTGTAGCAGGGTCTATGGCGAGCGTTGCGAACGCAATGGAACACGGTGGTCAAGTTGGGATGGTGTTTGAGATGTACAGAAGCAATGCAGGTTTCTTTAAGCTCATGGAAGAAACAATCGAATCGAATGTAAATTTGAGAGACGTTCGAAAAAGGGAGAACGGAGAAGTGTTGGAAATGAAGGTTGCTTTACAATTAGGGAGGAGTTTATCAGAACTCAGGGAATTGGCTGCATCAAATTCAAGCAGAGGAACAGAGGAAATGGGAGAGTTTGCAAGCAAGCTTTTCTAAGTTTATATATAAATCAGCAGAAATACTAAAGCAACTGTACAAGCTGTGTATCTATAAAAGATTAGAACAGTAGCATCCATTTACAATCTTGGGCTTTACTTTATAAATCCATCAACTTAAAGTAAGGTTCGACTGAAACTAAAGATGGCTCATATGTATAAACATTAAAAGATACCAAACAAGGAGGTTTCTTCAAGCTGCCTCTGCAAAACCGACTCTCAGCTTGCCAAAATCAAAGACGGTGTGGTAGCGACCCATGAAGACATCTCCCAAGATCCTGTGGCCAACGAAAACAGGTTCTTAATGAAAGGGAAGGAGACTTTGAATGATTCTGAAAGCAAAGTAAATGGTAAAAACATATATACCAGAGGGGTCCACGAGGAGGAGGGATATCAAATGCAGTAAATCCACTTATGCACTGAGCTACAGGACCCTCACCAACCTTGAGTATATACTGTTCACATTGCTCGCTATTTTAGAGAACGATATCGAAAGGGGATAAAAACCAAAAGGGGATAAAATCCTCCGTTCACGCAATTTTCTTTTCTGTATTTACCTCTTCTGGTGCAAGGTCGAATATTTTGCCACCAATGGTGAAGGAAACAGTAGGCATGGAAGAAAGTTGTCCACAGTCGACAGCTGATTGTCCCATTGGACTAGGCATACGATCACATAGCTGCAGGGGAGTTAATTAGTCGAGTCAACAAGAATCGATATTCTGAAGAAAACCAATCTGTAAAATTCTTGGAAGTATTGAGATTTTTTCACTGATTTTTTCACCTCATTGATATAGTTTATTATGCGTTCTTTGGTTTGATTCTGACGAAGTTGATTTTGCATCCAGACAACAGTCATCTCACATACAGAGCACATGCCATCGTGTAGACTGTCGGATGATTTCCCGGCATTCTCGTCCACCACACTCTCAATTCCCATACTACATGACCAACATAATTTCAGGGTCAGTAAATTCACCGAGTAAACGTGTGTGGTCCGATAAAAAGCATGTATGCCTCACTCACCTGACTCCTCGAGTTCCATCGAAAGTACACAAATTAATTTGAGAACATATCTTCTTCGGATCTGCCTGTTGAAAAAATCAAAAGAGCTCTATAAAAGGTATAAAGATTGGGTATCTTAAGCAGTGTAAGACCAAATTGCTACGTTAAGAATCAAGAAGTTAAAAACGAAAACGTTATCTTGCCTCAGATAAAAGCAAGTCCATAATAGTTTGCCCATATTGTGCGACGACGGCCTTGCATTGCTGGCTAACAACTCCTTTAGCTCCAATGGCGTGATTGATCATAGTTATAACAGGCTAAAAGAGAAAAAAAAAACATTGGAGTGAATAGCCATTTAACCCAACTGCAAAGACAATCACTGTAAAGATACTTATTATAACAACAAGCTCAAGCCTATGGGCTTTCCCTTTCGGACTTCCCCTCAAGACCCCTCAAGATTTTTAAAACATGTCTGCTGGGGAGAGGTTTCCACACCCTTCTAAAGAATGTTTCGTTCTCCTCCCAACCGATGTGGAATCTCACGAACGTTTGATAAGCCATCTTAAAACAGAAAAGTCCAACTTATTTATAAAAAAGTATCATGCAATATGGTATAACACATGTGAAGCCAAGTTACAGATGACAGGGAAGAAAAAGGTCAAGTCTATGTACGCACAGTTGGGCCAGCCAACAGTGAAGTTCCAGAATCAGCTATTGCTGAACAACCACCATCACAAAATCCTGAATTAACAAATTTCTGTAGTCAGAAGCACATAAACACAGAACTCAAGCCACCTGTTACAGAAACAAAAGGAAAAAAAAAAAAAAAAAACTCTCCTTCGCCTTTAGATTCTACTTCTTTTAGATGAATTAAAGTTAATAAGTGAAACATGGAAGCATACCAGTTGGTTCACCATCAATGAGAACATCGCCCATGTCGAACTACAAATCAGAAAGAAAAAATAAAAACTAAGCATGGGGAGTAATAACAATTTGAAGTAGGAGGGATGAGATGGAGACTTGGTAGCCAACCTGCCAATAACCTTTCTGTGTGACAGGAACATAAGTGTGCTTGCCCCTATAATGCTTAGGGTCAACCCCACCAAATACAATTTCACCTCCTTCTTCCTCCTCAACGTTGCGATTGAGCCAAAACGAAAAGACGGGTTCCTTAACAAGACCTTGTTCAACCATGTTATACCTGAGAAGAACATTACAAACGCCTCATTCAAGCCTCTCCATGAACCAAGAGGAATCTTAAACAAGAATCAGGATTGTTGAAAGAACATATCCTACCATACTGGGACAGCATTACCGACTGCGATCTCTTGAAAACCAAGTCCCAACAACCCATCAAACTTGGCCACCAGAAACGTAAGACTCGGTTCTCTGGTTGCCTCTATGAACACCTGAAAGGGACAATAGCAATAAAGAACAAACCATTGATATTCCAACTGTTCAATTCGATATAAACATAGTTAATGCCGGAAGTTACCTGTTCCTTTACGACTAGGTCTCCAACTTTGACATTGTCATAACTAAAGAAACCAGAGACTGCTCCAGTGCCATACCGAATTGAAGCAGATGTCCCTGCACAATGTCAATCAACCAAATTATTTTCGAGTGAAATTGTAGTAACAGCTCCGTGACATCGTGCAAGAAAAAACTACAAACATCCCCACATCAAAATAAGTACCAATAATTACAATTCAATCTTGAACATGGACTTGAAACAGTACCGTTTTTCTTGTATGAACTTGAGCGGCTTGACTTGTACCTGGCATGGAAATGACAAGCCACCTACAACAAAACCAAAAAGTTGAGTACACTCCAAAGGTATCATTTCTACTTAATGGTTTACGTTTCTGAATATAATCAAAGCGACAGATCCTTACAGAAAACAAGCACTTCGCAGAAGGCACCCACAGATTGGAGCTGCCGGTGTCAAAAATCACAGTGAACTTTTGTGGGGGTGTACCAATGGCGATCTCACCATAGTACTGAGCGTCCAGGTAGTTCTTTAACGCAACAATATCAGTATCAGAAGATTCTCCAAGATTACCCTTAGGATTATACTTCCTGAAAGCAGCTTTCAAAATCTCTGCATCCTTGGACTCAACGCGGGCAGCTAAACGGTTCTCTGGGTCTAACTTAATCTTCTTTAGCCCAACTCTAAGCAACCCATCATTGGATGCAGACGACACAATATTAAATGAAACCAACAAGAACAAACACAAGAAAGCTGCTTTGGAGTGGTACGAAGCCATTGGTAACCTACAAGTCCAAAGTGAAGTTGAGAAATCATGAATTATAACCTGATACAAGTCAAGCGAGATGAGCCCTAAACTATTAATAAAAACCTAACCTACTCAAACAAGCCCCAAACTGTTCAATTCTTACATGGAAAAACTATGATTCAAAATCAAATTTCAGGCGTGAACCTCTTGAATTGTTCCAGATTGAGGTTAAACAATAAAAAATAAACTATGAACTTCACCAAATTGCAGAACAGAAGAATAAAAAGAACCCTTAAATGATGCGATCGAATGGCGTAACAAACCCATACACATGCAAAAAGCTTAAAATTCAAAACCCAAAAACATGATCAGCAACCCGACAACCCCACGATCATCGAAAAAACAATCAAATAACAATGAACTGAATCTGGATAGACAGAAACAAAAAACTATAATCACATAAACAAACATCAATTCAAAAAGTAAACAAAACCTAGTTACCAACTTGAGGATCAAGTAAACAATGAAGTCCAAATAACAAAACCAAAAACAATTTAAAAAAAGGCGATCGAGGCATAAAAATCAGAAGAAACAAAACGAACCCACCAGAAAAAGACTTCAGACGAACAAGAGAATTGGGGAAATGATACGCGAATCTGCCTCTTTATAAACAAAACAAGAATACATTGAAGGAAGAAGCGACTGTTAACCGACCTGTCCACTCCAGAAATAAAAAAAACTCAAACGGACCCAACTCATCAACCGGTTACAATTCAAGCTCAAGCGTTGGAAAATGGCAGAGAGGACTTGATCTGGGCCGTCCGTTTTGGAGGGGATAGAGTTGTCTTTTAATCGCACGAATCTTGTAGTCGTCCACGCATCGGACCCGAGGATTTGATTACTCGGATCCCGAAGAAAAGCATTTCGGCGGGTTGAGAATCTTGTGCAACCAGTACTAGAGAGAATACGGTGTTCCCGTTTAATATTAACCGTTGATCGTGTGATGGAGGGATCAGAGAGAAGGTGGATTAAAATAAATAGGAAACGTTACGTGTCCGCAAAGAAGGCAATGTGTTGGTTTAACTGAGAGACGACGTGTCGTAAGCTGATACGAAAGGCAATGGGAGAGGAAGATGTTATTGTGTGCTTCTGTGTATAGGAAGCTATGGTGTGGCCTTCATACTAACGAACTTCTTTAAATGTTAAATTTATTATTTTTATTTTATTTTAATAATTTTGTGAGCACGTTGGGCTCAAAAGAAAGTGGATTGTGAGATCTCACATCGGTCAAAGAAAAAAACAAAACATTTCATATAGAATTGTAGAAATCTTTCCCTATTACACTTAAGAGAAAACGTAGAAAATAAGGTTCAAATAAGATAATATCTACTAAGGTTTGGGCTATTATAAATACCCTTAGGGTAAAATTATTGATCGAGCCATGTTTGAAATTCACGAGGCTCAAAGTCTAAAGGTAAAATAACTAGCACAAACAAGAGAGAAACGGATCTAAATTGTACCTAGTCATGTATTTAAGTTCGAAAAATCTTAATAATATTGAGTCACAATAGTAGCATCTCAACGCTATGGACGAAACTTCAACTTCATCGTAATTAGTACGTTGACTAGGAATGAGCTGGGATTCTTGGCGTCGAGTGAGGTATGATTCACCCAAGTTGTAGCATTATGACACTCATCTTATAAATTTTTTTTTGTCTACACGTTAAGACACTAACTTCATAACATTCTTATCTTATAAATTTCTAGGGCACCAACTTCATCACATTCTTTACAAGAATTATGAGATTCCACATCTATCGGAGAGATTATGAACACAAAATTACACTACTAACGCACAAAGACACCATTAGTGATAGCCTTCAGGATAATAATCTTCCCATTCCTCAACAAACAAAACACAGAAGAAGCATGCAATGACACTAAAGCATGAGCCCAAAGCTTCCATTGCAGCACACAAGACCAGAAAATTGGAACAGCAGCCATCCCAGTAATCATCAATGGAAGCAAAGCCGTATCTTTACCATAGTAAAGGAAGAAGACCGCACCAAAAGCCAGCACCATACACAGCACAGAAACAAACAGGGATCCAAGCCCGCCTACCAACTCCAATGGCAACCAAAACAGAAAATCATTCTCCGCACACCGCGATGTCAAGATTGACAAAAACAACAGTATTGCAGTCGACGAAGACACCAAAGCTATCCCATCTGATATCACAAACACTGTGAACCATTTCTTGTCCACAAATATGGGAAGCCCTGAGCTCTCGTTCTTGCCTCCTGGCACTGTGAACGCTGCTGCAAACACCACGGTCGCTATCAAAGTTGCTACCAGCATGCATGAATTCGCTGTCCTCTTCACCCATTTCTCTCCTTCTTCCTTCAGCTCTTTATGCTCTCTAGTGAATATTTTCCGCGCGGTCTCCCCTCCCCTTCTTTTTAGCCTCGTCGTAAGCTCCACTATATTCTCGACTACCTTAAACCATAGAAGCTCGCTATACATTTGAAACACTGCTCCCGAGACTCGATCGAGATGCTTCGGATTAGCGCTTTTGGCTGCTAATTCAAGCAAGCTGATTTTTTCCGCGTCAAAATAGTATAATAATGTCATCTGGGTTGAAGAGTTTCACGCCCTCTTGTCGATTCTCGACCACTACGTGAAATATGCTCTTCCCATCGTTGTCGATTATCCGTAGAAGATCAGGATTTTCATGCAGCAATATTTCTAGAAATTCAACGTTTCCAACTCTTGCAGCATCGTGTAGCATGCTTGATGGATGTTTTACGAAATTCATTAGATTTTCTTTTGAATTTGCATTTGTTTTGACAATACTCCACATGTTTGCAACCATTTGATGGCTTTTATTTCCATGGTTGTTTTTTTGCATAAATATTTGAACACTGTTAAAAAAAAAAATCTACCGTAAGTGTTTGAACATGAAATTATGAGGTTCTTTATGGTAAAAAAAAAAAAAAAAAAAAAAAAAAT